GTCCATAGGATGCTTGTGGGATAACCCACACTAGCGTATCTGTGCCACGAGTGTGTAGTACTGGGGCTTCAACTCAAAATTATCCCTATGAATGTCTGGAAGACAAATAGCTAACCTGTTGGCGTAGTACTGATCTGGACGGTTGTAATCTGCCAAGGTCTTGGGTCGAGTGGCCTCATCCGTATCAAGTTCAGGGATTATAGTCCTTTAAGCATATATTTTCTCACATGCTGCGTTACGCAGATGACCCTCCTGGTCATGCATGTTACCATTCTCGTCTGGAGTAAGTATCAGAATCGCAACCATGTCTCGCGGCTGAGTATCGATCGATGTACGGTGTGTAGAATCGATCGATGTCGAGTGTATGCAATTGGTCGTCGAAGAAGTGTTGATGTCGATCGATGACAAATGAAGAGAATCGGTCGACAAAGAAGTGCGGATGTCGATCGTGTAATAGCAATATTGGTTGAGGACGGTTGAGAATCGGTCGATATGCAAGTGTTGCTATCGATCGATCTGGAGCGTAGGTCTTTGCGGATCAAACGTTCCAAGCTTGCTGGGTCTTCTGAGAATAGCAGTTGTTTTTCATTGTTTCTTCTGGTAATGTTGTGCATACAACTGAAAAGTCAAGAAAAAAATTTTGTGTCAGATGAAGTTAAAGTCAAAGACAAACCTAGAATTATCAGATTAAATCTAATGGCAATCAAAGCTCCCCGGCAACGGCGCCTAATTTGATATCACTCAAATATTTAACCCTAGGTGGTGATTTACTCTCTCAAACAAGATATCAGTTATAGTACTTAGGGATCAAATCTACAAGGAGTTAGAGAACCAATTAATTCTAATCAAGTAATAATGCTAGGTTGGTTTTAGAAGTAAAATTGCAGTAATGAGGGAAACATAAAATAGTAAATATCCTAATTGAGCAAGATAATTAATCCATTAAATAGATTGAGGGTTGAAACTTAATTGGAAAGGTGTTAGACTTAGGGTTTGTATTCAGGTGTTGGAGATTATAATCCTATAGGTACTAATTAGTTGTTTGCATGGTATTAAATAGCTTAAAATCTAAATAACAAATTAAGCAAAGTATTCGCGTTACTAAATAAGTCTATTAACTAGGTCTTATTGACCCAAACAATAATGTCCGATCAATAACAGTGTCGATCGATATTCTATCGATCCATGAATTTTACGCGACGTCGATCGATTTCCTAGGGTAATATCAATCGATGAGGCTAGTTAAGCTTTATGCACGAGTTAATTTATACTCACTATAAACCCCTAGATCAAGCTATCGCTATACTCTAGCAAATCCTAGCTTAATAGAATAGATTCAGGATGTTTAGAATTGTCTAAAGGTTGCTTAAACAAACTAAACTCCTAGGTTTCTAGCTAGCAATTCTAGAACACAGGCATTAAGAACATCCTATTAATAAATACCACAACAAGCGATCCAATAGTTGGGGCTAATCTCACTAACATATTTAAACCTTAACTCTAACAAATGAATTACTGAGACATAGCTAAGCAAATCATAACACAAACAATGTAATTAAACTTCATAAATATAGCTAGATAGATAGATAGAAATGGAGTTTCAATCACAACTCTCTGGATCTTCTCTCCAAATCTAAGAATCCTAAAAACCTTTTGCTGTGTTAAGAGAATACAAGAAAGCTCTTTTTGCCTAAAACACATTGGAAAAGTATAAATACTTAGGTAAAAACTCGTCAGGGGCATAACCGTAATTTGATGAAGTCTTGGGCTTCAAGTCGGCTGCTTCGCGAATTGGTCTTCCGCGCCTTCGGCATCGAACGATACTGCATCGAGCATATTGATCGATATTGATCACTCTGTGTCTACCTCGTTGTGTTGTCGATATCCAAATCGAGTGATTTCTCCAATTTCTCTAAAAGGCCCCAAAAACATCACTTTCTTCCAAAATACTTCTGAAAAAATATGCTTAAATTAAAGCATGTATAATATAATAAACAGTTATAAAAACACCAATATACCATGACTAAAATTGGGTCAAAATCATGGTATATCAATCAGTGTATGGACGGAAGCAAACTCTGTAGCAGTGGCATGAAAAGTTTGATACTATTATGATGTCAAATGATTTTCACATCAATGAATGTAATAAATGAATTTACTATAAAATTACTTCTAGTGAGTATATTTTACTGTGTTTGTACGTGGATGACATGCTCATCATCGGTAACAATGAAGATATCATCCAACAAACCAAGAATATGCTTATTAGTCAGTTCGACATGAAAGAAAGACATGGGCTTTGCGGATGTTATTTTTGTCATTAAGATCCTAAGGATTCCTGATGGGATAACTTTATCACATGATCATTATGCTGAAACGATACTTGGAAGGTTCAAGACCTACTCTAGTGGAACTGCAAAAACTCTTGCTACTTGACCAAGAATGTTAGCGAAGTAGTACTACAACGAGAATATGCATGGGTAATTGGAAATCTGATGTACTTAATCAATTGTACTTGAGGTCAACATATTAAGTCGCTACACATGTAATCCATATCACTCACACTGAAATGCCATAACAAGGGTATTAAATTATTTGTGTTATACCAAGTGTTTGGGCTGCACTAGGGTAAAAAATCAGCAGTGTTGGAAACATACAATGATACAAAGTGGATATCACATTCAAAGAACTCAAAATTCTCAAGTGGATATGTCTTTGCGCTTAGAGTTGCAGCAATGTCTTAGAAATCTTCCAAAAAACTCTATTGGCCAAATCTACAGTGGAATATGACTTTATCGCTTTGGACAAAACATCAGAAGGACTTCGTAATCTTTTGGAAGATATTCCAATGTGAGAGAAACCAATACCAGCTCTACGGATACATTGTGATATTTAATCAGCTATAGCTCGGGCACTGAATGCTCTATATAATGGTAAATCGCGTCACACTAAATGACGACATAAGAACAGTACACACTTGATCTCAACCGATGTTATATCTATCGATTACATCAAATCAGCTGACAACCGTACGGATCCATTTACCAAAGGTTTAACAAGAAATAAAATACTAAAATCACCTAAGGGAATGGATTTATTGCCTACGATAAAAAAGATGCTTGATGAAAACTCCACCGACACGATTGAAGATCACAAGAATCGATTCAAAGGGAAAACTAAATCAAGCAGAATCTGATTTAAGCATTGAAAATTATTCAGATCCCAAGATGAAAAACGTGCTTCCTGTAAGTCTTTAAGATAAAAGATGGTTTTTGAATGAGATAAGACCATAAGTCTTCATATACATGTATATAGAGTATAAGATGATATTCTCTATGTATATGACATATATTAATGGCAATCACCTAGTGAGTGTAAAATGGACCTGTTTCTAGGAGGATACATCACTTTCACCTCACGAAATGTAGATCTGGCAGGTACTAACAACGAGTGGTTCAAGGCCGAAACACGCTACTACTTCAGATGCAGTCAATCTTCGCTTATACTCTCGAAAATCCGCATGTCTAGTAGTTTGTTAAGTCTAATTAGTAGAGTCTGTCGGGTATGTATAATCTAAACGTGTTTGTAATGTTTAGAGTAATTTCTATTCGTGTGGAGGAATGTAGAACCCAAAATTATAAGTATACTGGACTGTGTCATTTTTTCTTACAATGTGAAGAGAAATAAGAAAATGTCTTTTGGGTTTTTAAATTAAAACATTTCACTTAAATGAAATAGAAGAGTAAAAAATCTCACATTTCTATACCAAAAATATCTTGTAGCATAAATATGGAATTACTTTATCAAAGTTCAATAGTTTGTAGGGTTACTATGAAGAAAGAGTAAAAAGAGGTATTATGCAAACTACATATGCGGCCGTCGCCGCCGTTAGACTGGACTTAGGTCTTGATGAGTGTGGAATTTTTAGCCCATAATAAAATATTCTTTTTAGAGTAAATTAATATCAAAATTTTGTTTACATGATTTCGTAGATAAATTCTAACGGATTGTGTCTAATTTATCTCAATAAATCCAAATGTCTTAGATTATATCAAACATTTCAGAGAATTGTTAGAATATTTTCGATCATTTCTTACGCGATAAAACATGATTAGTTCGAGAAGATATCAGTGTTCTTTTTTTATCGTTATCCTTAGTTTATCAATTAAATGTCCTTCCCATATAAATATTTTCATTACTTCTCACGTTTCAAAACAATTAAAAAGTAGTTACAGTCGTTGATTATAAAAAAAAATCAAATCTCAACTCCACAAATTCATCTATTTTCTTAATAATTTCTTAAACGTTTTATATCTTTATCTCAACTCCAGAAATTCATATATTTAAACGTTTCATTTTATGTTTTATGTCTACATTTTTTATCGTTATATCGATCCCTATTTCATGATTTTCTATATTTCATGATTTTCTATCAGGATTTTTGTTTATATCAATTTCTATTTCGTACCGTGACGGTCAGAAATGATCTTCGTGTGTGGTACACAAATTACTAGCTTCCCTCTTCTTCTACTCTCAAAAATCTCTTCAGCACGATTTAAAATCAAAAGAGTTTATCCACATCAAAAGCGGCCAGAAAATGGTGTTTCTGAAATCTAAACTGAAATCTAGTTTCTAACATATCAGAATGAAATCTATATATATACTGAACTGAAATCTAGTTTCTAACATATCAGAATGGCGCAGCAGAAGCACACTCGAAACCTGGCACTGGTAAAGTGGTTTCCTATGTCCTTTTACACTTTTTTTTTTCTCTTGGGCTTAGGCCATTCTCTATTAAGAAAGTATATAGGTGCCGATTTGTTTTCAGAGTACTAGCAGGCTAGTCCCATCAAAATGATCTTCTAGTTATGACTTGTGAGACAAAACCTATTAAGACGGGTATACATTGTTTTCTTCGTCATAGATTCTTACTATGGTGGAAACGAAAGACAGGTTATAAAATTCTACTCTATTCTGTTTATATATAAAACATAGTATTATTACTCTGTTTTTTTAACTCTCTCCTCTTTCATCTTCCAAATCTTCTCACGAGTGTTGTCGTACGCTTCATTTGATCTATCTTTAAGATTCCTCAGTAACTTTTGTATTCGATCTCCATTCTTCTCCCACAACTTCGGAACTATCAAGCTGATCACTAAGCCTACAAATGCCAAAGAATAAAAGGACATATGAAGGACATCTACTCCATACCATATCCTACTGTTATACTGAGTTCTAATCTACCCAACGCGGTATTGTAAATCTTTAACTATTTACTTACCGATGAGAAGAAAAGTATGGAAGTCGAGGAGGTTCCCTATCTTTGACAAAATCCAAAACCCTAAAATGGTTCTGGCGAACACAAACCATTCACTCTCAGCACCGACCCGAAACATCCATCTAACCATTGCTTCCATTAGCTTCCGACACGACCTAGCCGTCTCTGCTACAAACTCCTCCGACATTTCTAACCCTGACAAGTCTGGTTCAACCCTATCCCAAAATTAATGAACGACTCAGAATACAGACATGCATAAAACGTCAGTCAACATATGCAACTGGCGCACACATTGCTAAATATGTATACATTATTGAAGTCCTTTACTCCTTCAGAATCTTTTAGAACATCAAAAATATTTCAAATAAAAGATTCAATAGTTTGGTAAGGTGATTTTAATACTTGCTGACAAGGCGAAGTAAAGTCCCCCAAAGGAAGACCATAGAGACGATGGCCATGGCTGCCCAAGAAACAATGGTTATAGAACTGAAGCCATATATATTGATCAAAACCCATGTCGCTGTTGAGACAGAGAGAACTGAGAACGCCAGTTTCGTCCTCCTCCATAAGTACATATCCTCCAAAACATCTTCTATGTAACTCATAAAACATAGCAAAGAATAAATTGGGATTATATGAAGTATAAAAGTTTGAAATCTAGTAGGGAAGGTTTACTATTTTATTTTAGCACTATATTTCTCAAACTATTGTTCTTACCAGATTTGGGTGATGTATCTTTGGTCACATCGTTTGCCATGGCTGTTATGGTAGTAGATATCGATGATGCTGGTAATAAAATAAGAAAATCGTAGCTTACGATGTCTATATTTGAATTAGTAGAATTGGAGACAACTGTATGTGTGTGCGTGAAAGAAATTCTTCATTAATTCTTGATGCAACACGTCGTGGTGACTTTGCGGTGACGTGGGAACCATGCAATGTTTCATTGTACAAAAACCAAGCTGGAATGTTCGAGAAAGGTAGGATTGGATACATTGCCGGTCTAGATATATATGGCACGTAAGACTCTAGATATATATGGCACGTAAGACGTAATAAAAACTAGGTTATTTTCCCGTGCTCATGCACGGATATAAATATTCATAAAATTAAAATTTTATAATAATTAATTGATATTTAATTTTATTTTTGAATCAATTTATATGTATAATTTATATTACTAAATATTATATTATTCTAATTATACATATGACTTTGGATATATTATTTTCGGTTTAGTTACTTTTTGGATCAATAGTCGGTTTGGTTATCAATTCGGTATATTTGATAATATCTATTTTTTCGAATTCAGCTATAATATTTTGTATTATAAATATAATAAAATTTTGATTAATTTTCTTATTTTCATTTCGGTTGGTTATTGTATTTAGATATGTTTTTTTGAACAACTGTATTTAGATATGTAAATATATTTTTTGACCAAAAAAAGATATGTAAATATATTCTTAGATATGTAAATATATTATAGTTAAATTATGTATGACTTAATATATATTGTGCTTAAAATGAAATAAATAATAAGCTGCAGGATTTGATTCAAAATTAATAAATGAATATAATGATAATATTTTGAAATCTCGTGCATATATATAAATGCTAAAAAGAATTAAATTGGAATGGATTAATATTTCTTTTTCTTTTTAATATGCTTTGAGTCAACCTGTAAATTATATGTATAAATTTAAATAGATTATTATTAGTATTATTATTATTATTATAAAATTATATGTTTTTATTGTAGTTAGATGTCTAATTTTGGATATAAATTAGATTAGTCTAGTCATTCATTTTGTGAGTATATTGAATTAAACATATTTTTAAATTAAAATTGAAGTATAGTTACATTTTATGTTAATTAAGTCAAATTAAGTTAGTTTTATTTATTGCTTAAATATACATGTATTTCCATAATATTTATTTACTCTTTATTTTAGTTAAATCAAATCAAATTATTTGATTTATCGCTTAAATATACATATATTTTCATAATATTTATCAATTTATATGTTGATTTCTAAAAATATTAGAAAATAAAGTGTAACTGATAAATTTTTGGATGTTCATGAAACATATATATTTTATTATTTTGAAAATATATTTTATGTTATTAATGGGATATTACTATTTTGTGAACTTTCCTTTTTAATAAAGTCATATTATATACATGTATATTCGTTTTTAATTTTTTAAAAAAGTTTAGAAATATTTCCTTTTTATTATATATGTTATTTGGAAAAAGGTAAAAAAGAAAATAAATAAATAAATAATCTTAAAATCTAAAAATTCATTAAGGGTATCTAAGTAATCAACTATCGCGAGAGTTAACGTGAGCGCGACACGTAGGAAACTGACTTCTCAAATAATATTATAGAGATACGTAGCCCCAAAATTATAACTAATTTTGCTATATTTTAAATATGTAATATACACATACAAATATTAGTAAAATTTAGTTATTTCTCACAGAAACAAAAAACCTTAGTACATTATTCCAAAAAGATAATCCTTTTGTTTTATCCTAGAATTGCATATGTGATGAGGACATACCAGCTGATTTAGACCAAGAGGAACCAGATTTAACCAAACCCCACATCCAGAACTTATATAAGCCAATCCATCCTAACCAGAAGAAGCCAAAGATGTTCCAATGCCGATTGTGTTTAAGGGAACTATGACTAGACAAAGAGTTAAGATACTTCAACATAAGCTTAATGAGAACATGATACTTGCTTTTCATCATGGACAGGATAAACCAAGTATTGAGCAAGCTGAGGGTGACACAAATTGTTTAAAGACTAAAGAATCAAACTTGAAGAATAATGGACCAACCGAGAAGGCCAAGTGATGCAGCATCATGATAGCTTTACCGCCAAGCAACTACTTCTAATTTTCGGTTTTGTTATATTTCCTTTTCTAAGCTTGATTTCCTTTTATTTAGATTTTCTATTTTTAAAGAGGTTTAGGTTATGTTAAACCGTCTCTTAAATCCTATATAAAGGATTGCTTGTTGGCTTTTAACATTCAGACTTTGATTAATAAAACTTAGAGTTTTCTCTATTCCTTGCTTTGATTCGATTCTGTCGTCAGTTCAAGAGCCTTGTGTTGATTTTGATTAAGTTCATCAGCTCAAGAAGTCAGGTCTCTAGAGGTTTAAACCTAAATCCCTAGATTTGAGCTGAGTTACCCTTGATACGCTGCGCCAGGTTGGTATCAGAGCTTTGCTACGCTCCACAAATTTTTTTTTCGTGAAGCACCATGGCTAGACCTCGTCGAGCACCTGTTCAGACTGAAGCAAAAATCACTCGAGAAGCCATTGCTGAGCTTCAGGCCCAGATGGCTACAATCACCGCCACCCTCCAAGCCCTTAATGTTCAACATCCACCACCACCAGCCCGAGCTAACGTTGACAGAAACAGAGAAGATGTAGAAGACGAAGAAGATCAGTTTTTGCAGCAGATGAAGAAAACCCATTCGTCCCTCTCCGTCACAACCGTGCACTCGCACGTGATGATAGACAACAAATTCATGATGATTACCAATGGGAAAAGGGTTTTAAAACTGAGATACCCGAGTTTCATGGAAACACTTCTGCAGAAGAACTACTTGATTGGATAGTCACAGTAGAAGAGATTTTGGAATTAAAGAGAGCACAATGGAGCACTCTGTTCCGGTTTTGACAATGCGTTTCCGCGGTAGAGCTGCAGCCTGGTGGACACAATTGAAAGCAACTCGGGCTCGACTCGGGAAGCCAAAGATTCTCGCTTGGGCAAAGTTAAAATCGAAGCTCTAGAAAACTTTCTTGCCATACAATTATGATCAACTTATGTTCCAACGCTTACATAATATTCGACAAGGCACACGTTCTGTGGCAGAATACTCAACAGAATTTTTCTTGTTGCTGACACGCGTCGACATTCAGGATTCAGAATGACAACTTGTGGCTCGTTTCACTGCGGGTCTGCGCCAACAGATCCAACACACCATCAACCTATTTAATCCTTTGACTTTATCCGAAGCTCACCAGCAAGCTCTTACCATTGAGTCACAAACTAAGAACAACTTCTCCTGGACCAATGCACGCCAAACTCGTCCTGTTTCTCAACCACATAGCTCTCAACCTACAGATGATGCTCCGCCGCAACAACCTGATGCCGCAATTTCCCGTGGTTGTTTGATCATCGAGTAAAGCATGATGGGTATCTCAACACTTACAGCTTTCGTTACAATGATCAGAACATCACACTACACCCGTCTCTGCCAGAGAAACAGAGTAAACCGTCGGCACCAGTTCTAATTCTGCAGCGCAAACCGTTTGAGACTGCACTTCGTGAAGAAAGACGAGTTTTGATTTTCATTAATTCATCCACTACCCCAGTTATGCCTGTGATTCCCGATCACTTTAAGAGTCTATTAGAAGATTTTCAAGATGTCTTCCCTAGTGAGTTACCCACCGGTCTTCCCCCGCTCCGAGACATTCAACACCGCATTGATCTGGTTCCAGATGCTATCTTGCCAAACCGCGCTCATTATCGAATGAGTCCCAGTAAACATGAAGAACTCATACGTCAAGTAGAAGAGCTCGTTGCGAAAGGCTATTTGCGAGAGAGCCTTAGTCCCTCTGCAGTTCCTGCATTGCTTATACCAAAGAAAGATGGGTCTTGGCGAATGTGTGTTGATAGTCGCGCCATCAACAAGATTACAGTGCGTTATCGATTTCCCATTCCTCAATTGGATGATCTTTTGGATCAGATTGGTGCTCCAACAATTTTCTCTAAACTGGATCTTCATAATGGATACCATCAGATAAGAATTCGCTCGGGAGACGAATGGAAAACAGCTTTTAAGACGCGCGAAGGACTTTTTGAATGGCTTGTCATGCCCTTCGGTTTGTCCAATGCACCAAGCACCTTTATGAGAGTCATGAATCAATCTCTGCGGCCTTTTATTGGTAAATTCGTCGTGGTTTATTTTGATGATATTCTGATTTTCAGTATGACCCTTGATGAACATCTTGCACACTTACGCGATGTACTCCTCGTTCTTCGTCGAGATCAACTTTTTGCTACCCTGAAAAAGTGTGAATTCGGATCCTCTCGCGTACACTTCCTTGGCTATATTGTCTCTGCCGAAGGTTTGGCTGTCGATCCGGGCAAAGTTGAGGCGATTAAGTCTTGGCCAGTCCCAACCACGTTATCTGCAACACGTAGTTTTCATGGCCTCGCTTCTTTTTATCGACGATTTGTACCGCAGTTCAGTAGCTTAATGGCACCTCTCACTGATTGCATTCGTCGTGATGGTCTCTTCACTTGGACCCCCGAGGCGTCTGCTGCTTTTGAAACTATTAAAGTAAAACTGATCACGGCTCCTGTTCTTGCACTCCCTGATTTTTCTCTGGTTTTTGAACTCCATTGTGATGCTTCCAAGCTTGGAATTGGTGCTGTCTTGAGTCAACGCAATAGGCCAATCGCATTCTTCAGTGAGAAATTGGCTGGTGCTCGTATACGTTATAGTACTTATGATGTGGAGTTTTATGCAGTGGTTCAAGCAATCAAACATTGGAGACATTACCTTTATCATAAAGAGTTTGTTCTCTTTACTGATCACGATGCTTTGAAACACTTAAGTAGCCAAGACAAGGTTTCTTCACGGCATGCAGCATGGGTGTCTTACTTACAGCAGTTTACCTTTGTCATTAAGCATACTTCGGGAGTCTCCAATCGTGTAGCTGATGCTCTT